TATGACTGTTCTCACACAACCCTTCCAGCTTCCATCCCGTGACGGGATCAAAATTGATTAGTTGACCATATGAAACATAAGCTATACATAAGATGCAATAATATGGGGGAAGAAGTACGGGGAAACGAGATAAAATGAACTACAGGTAGTCCTTGACTTACAACCATTTGTTTAGTGACCAAAGTTACAACGGCACGGAAAAAGTGAATTATGATCATTTTTCACACTTACATCTGTTTCAACATCCCCTGTGGCTACATGATCCAAATTCCAATGCTTGGCAACTGGTTCATATTTATGATCGCAGTGTCCCAGGATCATCTGATCACCTTTTGTGATCTTCTGAAAGGCAAAGTCAATGGGGAAGCCAGCTTCACTTAACAACCGATTTACCAACTAACAACTGCTATGACTCACCTAACAACTGTGCTAAGAAAGGTTGCAAAACAGGGCAAACTTACTTAACAACTGTCTTACTTACCAACATAAATTTTGGGCTCAATGGTAATAATAATAAGTCAAGGACTACCTGTGCAGTAAGATAAAATGAAATATACTGAGATAAAGAATTCTGGGAGTTGAAGTCCACAGGACTTAAAGTCGCCAAGGTTGAGTGACACTGCACTAGACTAAATTGGCTCTCAATTAATTGATTGGGTTTTTTATTTTCCCTTTTGCAGGATAAATATTGAGAATGACTCTGCATGAGATGGTTCAGACTGCGGCCAGATTATATCCCGAAAGAAGAGCTGTGTGCTTTGATGCGTGCAACTCTCAGATTCCAGTTTACTACAAGTATAAGACAGTTATGCGCCTTGCTACAGAGCTTACAGACTTCCTGAGGAAACATTGCAACCTTACTGAAAATTTGGAAATCGGTCTCTACTGTTATCCGGGGATAAACCTACCTTCTTGGATTCTAGGGTAATGCATTTATATAAATTGGTTAACATAAAGGCAGGACATGCTATTATCACCTCATTATCATCATTTTTAAAGTGTTTATTTGTATAGTATGTCTTATTTAATTTACGTCCTACAATTTTACCATGTTTACCTGAAAATAAGACATGTCATGATACTAAGCCCAATCGGGCTTTTCAGCGCATGCGCTAAAATAAGCCCCCCTTTGAAAATTATCCCCCCCAAAACTAAAACGCATGTGCAGCTAGTCCCCGCCATTTTCTCTAATTGCTTTCCACACAAACGAGGAGGCGGGGAAGGAGGGGAGACATTCCCCATGCACCCCACATGCCATTACCGTACCTAACAGTAATGCTGATGGCCGCGGAAAAAGTGGCTGCAGCAAAAAGAAGACTTGCCACAAAAAGACCGGCTGCCGCGCCTCGCGCCCCACTCCTTACCGCTAACGCTGATGGCTGCACAAAAAGAGCGGCTTCAGCAAAAATAGCATCCGTTGTGCCTTGCGCCTCACTCCTTACCAGTAACGCAAAAAACGCATGCTGCACCTCGCGCCCCACTCCTTACCGGTAACGCTGATAGCCATGGAAAAAGAACACCTGCCGCAAAAAGAGCGCCTACAAACCTCCTCACACCACCTCCTTACCGGTAACGCTGATAGCCATGGAAAAAGAACACCTGCCGCAAAAAGAGCGCCTACAAACCTCCTCACACCACCTCCTTACCGGTAACGCTGATGGTCGCGCAAAAAGAGCGCCCACTGCAAAAAGAGCGCCCATCGCGCTTCGCGTCCCCTCCTTACTG